GGAGCACAGGCTCCGGACGCGCAGGCTCAGTGGCCATGGCTCACGGGCCCAGCCGCTCCGCGGCATGTGGGATCTTCCCGAAACGGGGCACGAACCCGCGTCTCCTGCATCGGCAGGCGGACTCTCAAGCACTGCGCCACCAGGGAAGCCCAAGAGATGGCCTTTCTTGAAGGAATCCCTTCAGTGCTTACTCCTCTCTCCTGTCCTTTTCACTTCAATGCGCAGTTCCTATGTAAATTTCCAGCACCCTTGAGAAGGACAATTGAGCAAGTATTTAATTGTTTGGACATTGGGTACAAGAGGTCCTCTTCAGGCTAACTAGAAACCTTTATTCCTAAGCCAACTTGATCTCTTTTGTTTTGGCAGGGGACCATTCCTAGTGGCACTGGGGAAATCTTGGCACCCAGAAGAATTTAACTGTGCTCACTGCAAAAATACGATGGCCTACATTGGATTCGTAGAGGAGCAGGGAGCCCTGTATTGTGAGCTCTGCTATGAGAGATTCTTTGCCCCTGTATGTGGTCGATGCCAGAGGAAGATCCTTGGAGTAAGTATTGGAAACCTTTTCACTCCGAGTGAGTTTTCAAGCAGAACAATTTTTTGGTATGAAACCCTTCTGTCATTTTTACTCTCTATTTTCTTCTTGCTTGATCCGCTCTCTGCTTTCATCACTATTTATTTTTGCAAAACAAAACTAAATAGACCTCTGTAGAAGTCTATCAGACTCATGGGGTTAAGTTGTCTTTGGTTTTGTCTTACTGAGTGCTGGCTTGTCTGGTGAAAGTCTAGCCACTGTGGGGAAAAAATAATTTACTGTGGGTGTGCTACCTCAACAGGACCCTGTTTGCTCAGGAATGAAGAGGTTGCACAGGACCACACACTTCTGAGTTCTCAGAATTGACACCTTCACTGTTTTAAATTAAATTCCATCGCTTTTATAAGAGCAGCACTTCCCCATCTGTCAGGGTTCAAGCTCAGGGCACAGATCTCATGAAATATATAAAACATGAGGCTTATAAATGGTATATTTTTCTTGAATGCATATAATGTTTAAAAATATAACCTCAGTTTTATGAGAGTATACATGTGATAGAAAAATAATCAAGCCACACCTTTTTTCTTTTAAACAAAAAGGGAGTAATTTAGGATTCAGATACATAATAAATAATGATGAATTAATGAATTTCCTACTCTGGAATACCCAATTTGCAGTTGTGAAGTAAGGGTAAGGCATTTCCTATGGATGACCAGGAGTTGAAATTTTACTTTAGAAGCAGCCAAGGTGCCTGGACTCATATGAAACTCATGCAAAATTTGGAAATTACATTGCTGAGTTCTAATATTCTCAATACAATAATGAAACTGTAATTCATACCAATTGAGAGAAAAGCTAGTATGAATTACTGAGTAGCCTTAATTTTAGAATACATCTTTAAATGGGTCTAAAACTTTGAAGACACTTTAAAATTATTAATATACTACTGGAATATTCCTATATTATTAATTTGTACAATATGTGAAGAGGAAAAGAGAATGATTCAGGCTGTACCTTTTCAAATGACAAATAATAAGTAGAATACATTAACACTCTTTTAGTGTATAAATGTATTCCATGAGTTCTAGAATGATTAATAAAGTCAAGTAAGAGTCTTAGCACCAAATGAGGTTCTAGGAAATGGAAATCTTAAACTCATTGCTTCAGACATGGGCCAGAACTTCACTAAAGGGACAGATTTTCTGGACTGTGTTTTAGTTGTTTGATAACCTATTAAAGAAGGGATAGTAATCTGTCTCAAGGATAGAAAGTTGAATAGATACTAGAAGCCTTGGGAAATGATTTGGTTGAATGTCCACTTGTACATGTTCATGGTGATCTCTTTGGATATAAATAACTGCCATTTCTTCCCATAGCCCTTCAGTAGTGAAATATGGCATTTTCTATGGCCAATAACTTATCTATATCATTTTCTTTTTTTTTGTCTTTTATTTTGACAATATTTATTATTAGAAAAGAAAATATTTCACTCTACAACAATTAGAAAATACAAAACATGTAAAGAATAAAATTAAAATTATCTATATATTTACCAGTCCCAGAGGGTTCCTGTTAACCTTAGGATGTGTTTTCTTCCAGTTTGCTCCTTATGAGTAATTCATTTACAAAATTGTAACCATACTTTATGTATAGCATCCTCCTTTTTGTGATAAATGTTGTGGAAAGAGTAAATTCCTATAATGTTAACTATTCTTCAAAAATGATTTTTTTTTTTTTGCGGTACGCGGGCCTCTCACTGCTGTGGCCTCTCCCGTTGCGGAGCACAGGCTCCGGATGCGCAGGCTCAGCGGCCATGGCTCACGGGCCCAGCCGCTTTGCGGCATGTGGGATCCTCCCGGACCGAGGCACGAACCTGTGTCCCCTGCATCAGCAGGCGGACTCTCAACCACTGCGCCACCAGGGAAGCCCCAAAAATGATTTTTAATGACTCCATCTCGTTCTGTCAATTCAAAGAAACAATTCCTTGCAAATCCAACTCCCCAGAATTTCTTTTACTAATTAAAATCTGGCCCAGGTCTTTGATACTTGGTATATGTAACCATAGGACTATTGTTGACTAGAGTCCATGCTTTATGGTTCAAATTTTAGACACTCATATGAATGTGTGCTTAGTACAGCCATAGCTGATTTCCAAGATCCTAACCATGTGTTAAACATGATTGGGTTACACTGATTAAGTTGTTGCTTCCATCGTGCAACACAGTATAGGCTTGTTTTAGTTTTTAAGTGTTTTACCATTCCTCCATGACATTTTCAAGATAATACTGTGAAATCTTTGCAAGTTAATGTTTCCTGACACCCTTTCAGGGAAAGCAGAATGTCGGGTAGCAAACACTTATGAAATGCTTACTTGGATTCACCACATTTATAATGTTTAAATAACACTACTCATTCTTTAAGTAAGTTTATTGATGTGTATTTGTGAAAATGCATATTTTATATGATGCATCAGTTTAGATGATTTGTGAGTCTGTCCTGAAATATCTCTAGTTCATTAGATGAAAAGCTTAGGCAAAGACAAAGCATGTGTGTCTACTTTGGGTCAGTTTATAAAAGGACTGTATTGGTACAGCTAGTAGAATAATCATCACCTTTCTTTACATCCATTTCCTTTCTATAACAGGAAGTCATCAATGCTTTGAAACAAACTTGGCATGTTTCCTGTTTTGTGTGTGTGGCCTGTGGGAAACCCATTCGTAATAATGTCTTTCACTTGGAGGACGGCGAGCCCTACTGTGAGACTGGTAAGATCCTAAAGCCAGGAGTTTCTTAAGTTTTGAATGAAGACAAAACATTATCCCTTATAGTGCTATAAAGCCGAAAGGAAATATTGGGCAAAATAGTTTTGCTGGATGTTCTAGGAGCGCTTAATGTTACTTTAAATATATAGCAAAAAAAATATGTAAGATTTGTATGTGACATATTCCCAGCTTCATTAAGAGAAATGACCATGTAAGCAATTTAGAAAACTATTATTCTTGAATCCCGAATAACTTCTGGGTATAAATCCTACCAAATCGTGTAGCTTAAAGCCACCCCTTACACTCCACTAGTGAACTTTTAGTGGTTATAAAAATGAGAAATATTCAACTTTTGAATATAGTAGTGATATGCTCTTGAAGACCACTGCTTTGACAACAGATTGGAAATCCTTTGTTACTTTTACTGAATGGGAGGCTAATTGTGGTTTGGACTGCTCCCTTGGTTAAGATTATTTTTTTAAAAACAGGCTCTAAAGACCAGTCTACGACATTTGTCCTATTACCTAAACTGTGAACACTTCCTTTTCCTTCCCAAAGACTATAAGTGAGCTTTCTTAGCACTTATTTATTAATATTATCCTTACTTAGATATTACAACTCCACATACATGTTTCAAAAAATAAAATATTTTTCCTTTTTTATGCCTCCACTCAGTACCCCTGCATTGCCACTCTGGGGTTTTATTGTTGTTCTACCTTGCAATTCAAAGGGTGGTGCTGGACAAAGGGAATAGTCCATAGTAGTCAAGTTAAAGAAGCAGTCAGCTTCTAATTTGAGGCTGGTCAACATGACTTGACCCTTCTTTGCCCAATCTAATTAGTAAATTCTAACAGTTCTACCGCCAGTGGATATGGAATTCATTCATTTCTCTCACCTCCACTGTCCCCACTAACTCCAGTTCACCCTCACTCTTTGCCTGGGCATTATAATTGCCAGCCAAAATGGTTTATCTTTCCCCCCTACCCTCAGATAGCTAGGGTGATACTTGTGTGAAGGTGAATCCGCTTGTGCTTGACACCCTTATGGCTTCCACTAGAGTAAAAACTATACTCCTCCCTAGGTCCAGCTTTGCCAACCTTATCTCCTGCACCTGATTTTCTGTCACTGGATTCTAGCCAGACCCAGCCCCTTGGTTGTTTCTGAACCTGCTGGATACTTCCGGCCTCAGGGCTTTTGTACTCACTATTTCTTCTGACTGGAATGTCCTTCCCCGGCTTTTCTGAGGTGATTTCTGCCCCCCTTTTTTTCAAGTCACAGCACAACTGTTTTCTCCTCAGAGAAGCCTTTCCTAGCCCTCCTCTAGAGTGTAGCATTATATACCTCCCCCAACTGTTCTCTATCGCATCACTCTTTTCTTTCCCTTATGGTCTTTGTCACAATCTGAAGTTGTTTATTATCATTTATTTTTAAAATATAATAAATGACGACATCCTGCTCCCAGTGAGACTGTAAGCCCCATGAGGTGAACAACCCCATCTGTCTTCTCCCCTGTGCCCCCAACCAGTGCCTAGAACAGCGCCTGGCGCACAGTGGGGCTCTGTGGGTGCATGTTGAACAGCTGGCACTGAGGAGTATTGAGGATTGCTGGAAAGGTGACTCACGCCACGGGTGGTAGCCTACTTTCTCCTCCAGCCCAGGTGGGATTGGAAGTCCAAAGTCACAGAGTGAACCATGAGTGAACACACACAGTAAGAGCAGCTGCAGAAAAGGAAAGAAAATTGCCAGTAAATTCTAATTTAGTGATAATACAGAGACATCTTGTCAAAACTGCTTTCTTCAGAAAGAAGATATTAATATTTTATGACTCTAATCTGTGTCAAGTAAGAGGTGTTCTCTGGCTAAGGATTTTCAGCATGAAGTCATAAAATGGAAAAGAAAATACAGCAAAAGAAATAGTGGCTAATATTGTTGTGATACAGTGCAGCCAGAAACTCAGTCATAGCATTTCTTAATGGAGGTTTCCTGTGACTTGTTTTTCTTCCTTACCAAGTCAGATGTGCTATGAAATTTGCTAATATCAGGTATTTCTTCTTCATTTATGTTCATTAGTCTTATTGTTACTAGTTACTGGAAGTTCTCTTATATTTTATTGAAACAATCATGGCTATCGATAACTTATCAGAGAACAGTGTTCTTCATGCATATTTGGGCATTTAAGAAGTTGGACAGAACTGAGGAGTATTATATGGAAAAATATAATAGAGGATGTTAAGTTGCATATATAACGTTTACCGGGGTAACCTGAAATATACTACGCGTGTATCTCAAGCCAAATTTTATGCCATCTGAAAATTTTCCAGTTACTAGTAGCTTTATCTTCATCATCTCATTTAATTCCCATTTTGTTGCTCTTTTCTAAAACCTATCATTCTGAAGCTTTGTCATGTTTAAATTGTGTCTACCCCTACCCCTGCCCCAATACAGATTATTATGCCCTCTTTGGCACTATATGCCATGGATGTGAGTTTCCCATAGAAGCTGGTGACATGTTCCTGGAAGCTCTGGCCTACACCTGGCATGACACTTGCTTTGTATGCTCAGTAAGTAAACTCTTGTTTCCGAATTGAAGGAGCGCGGTATGGCCGGTTCTAGCCTAAGCACTAAATGGAAATAACAGTTTTTATATCTTTCAGTGCTTCAAACCTAGAAATATTTTTACAGTGATTTTGAAAATTGTTTATTAAAATTTTCGGTACTTTTTGAAATTGTTTGGCAATTTCAAAAAGAATATGATGTTTACCCCTTTAGAGAAAATCCTATTTTTGATACATTTTTGTTTATAAGGAGAAGCTATATATTTCTTAAAACAATAAGAGCCTTTTACTTTGCTTAAACTATGTTTTATTGGAGTGCTTTTAGTAATTTATAAAAACATAGGTACTTCTTAAAATAGAAGTCAACTGTTATAAAAATCTATTACTGACTTAACACTGGAAGTAAGCTGTACGTTGATCCATTTCCTTCCTTAGTAATAGTCTATGAATGTTCTTTTCTTTTTGAGACTATAATAAACTTGTAGTAGTATATTTACCTCTTTCATTTGATATTTTAATATTTTTGGCTTTATTTTTAATGATGAGTATAGATTCAGAGATTAATGTGAACCTAAGATATATATTTTTTTAATTTAGAAGTAAATATCTAATAAAGTATTCTGTTCAGATGTTTGGTTTTTTAAATTATATTTAATATTTCTAATAGTTTTTAATACCCATTGTAGGAAGGGGGAAGAGGCTTGTTAATTGAAGTCAAATAATTTCCTAAAACATTACCATTGAACCCTGTCTTGTTTACCTCATCCATCTCTTAGACTTCATAAAATCTATAAAAAGCAGCAACTGTTAGCAGATTTGCCGCCTCCTATTCTCTGGTAGATCTGCTCAGGAGCATTAAAATTAACAAAGACAGTAGGAAAAATAAGAAGACATAAGTGTGAATAGTTAACTGACGACATAACTTCCAGCAGCCAGATGTTGACTAGGGTTTTCATTTTAAGAAACAAAGAAATGAATTAAAAATAACTGTCAGGTATTCTGTGACTCTATATTTAGGGGCTTGGGAATGGGTGGCAAAGCAACTGTGCTGGGTTTTTTGGTTTGTTTCTCTGAATGCTTTGTTTCTTTACAACAAGAGGCAGATTTAAAACATTGACTAGAATCTGAGAAGATAAATTATATTTAATGTGACCTATTTATGTGTTAATTTCTTCACTAGGGCCAAGTAGTCATTCCTAACAGAGAAAAATAATGATCAGTGAGTTTAAATAAATTAGAATGTGCATTCCAGGAAAAAGTCATTCTTCATTTCTTTTGAAAGATTCCATGAAATATAATAGTAATCGTGAAATGCTAGGGGGTCTAACACAACCAACTAAAGTGCTTTGTCATGTTATCCATTGGGTAAAAAAATCATTTTCCCCTTGTTAGGCGTACTTGATAAAATAATGATATTCTCTCAAATAATGCTTCTTTTTCAGGTATGTTGTGAAAGTTTGGAAGGTCAGACCTTTTTCTCCAAGAAGGACAAGCCACTTTGCAAGAAACATGCTCACTCTGTGAATATTTGAAAGTCAACAGTCCAGGGGAAGAGAAGAAATTTGAAGTGAAAGAGGAGAATTTAAATCACCAATTAATTTTTAGATTTAATATTTATATGGAGTTTTGAAAAATAATAGTGGCCCTGAAGGGATAAATTCCAAGCTTTGAAAACCAAGTCTATGAGGAAATATCTGGCTTCATAAAGTAAAGAGACAGTTTGGCGTTTATTATTACTTTTTTTCCTGCATTTTCTGCCCATAAAATAACTTTTATAAAAGCCAGTTTCCTGGTTGACTATTAAATTCATCTTAGAATAAGTCAGTGAAGAATTAAATTTTAGAATAAAAACCTTCAACCTCTATGCTGAAATAATTATATCGTCTTTCCTTACTAGGTAGTTGTGAGTAAATCTATAAAAGGCAATAAAAATACCTTACATTTGATTAATAAGTGAAACATTGTGTTTTTTTTTAAAAAATAGTGTTTATCTTTAAAACAGTAAATAGGAGTTTAAACAGAATTTTATCAATAGTAAGTGTCAGGATTTTTTAAACTGTATACTTTTTTTTTTTTGTCTTTACAGTTGATCGTTCCAGTAGGAAAGGCCAATGAGATTTTGATCAAAATGTGTCATGCCCAAAAGAGATGTTATATTTTTCTCTGATCCCCTCCACCCCAGAAAAGCTACGATATAGCTTATAAACTTTAAATTTTTGCCTTTTATTAAAATATGACCATTTCTACTCATTGTGTATGTTTCACCATCTGTATTAGTCAAACTGTTTTTTTCCCCTTCCCCATGCTGAGGTAAAGAGCTTGTTGAATAACTTTGGACTCTGGAAGTTTTCTCTATCTTTAAATAGAATAAAGAGAAAAGAATGTGGTTGGGAATTATGATAAATCAGAGGATTAGATCAGAAAATTTTTTAAATTCCACCTTTTTGGACAATGAATCAATTAGATCAGTTTCAGAGTTATACTACTGACTGATGAAGGTTTGAAATTTCTCTTTGCAGAATAATTTTTTTTTCTTTAGTTCTACATTGGAAAAATAAAAGATTGGCTTGGGGATGTGATAAAAATTTAATTTTTTTTCTTTTAGTAGCTCTTTCTCAGTAATAAATGAACCACTTCCAAATGTAATCATGAAGTTTGGAATTCACAGAGGTTTGATAGTATAGAGAGGAACGTGATTAATTATTCAGACCAGCCTTTCTTTGTTTTTTTTCATTTTAGGGAAAAAATTATGTAGATACCACAGGAAGACAGAGAAGCAATTGTGGTAAAATTGTGGATCGTATTTATATTTGAGAAAAGAGATTATGGCATTTCATAGTTGTTTTTTATTTCTTTGTTACCAAACTGGACAAAAGCCCATGATCACATTGAGTTATCATTTAAGTTTGTTTGGGGAAGGGTGCTTTTATAGTTGAGACTGAGCCCCAAGCCCTGCCTGTCCCATCAGTCACTTGCGACTTCACTTCCATTGTGTGCATGTTTGTTAGAGAAGGGGGTTTTAGGCTATAATATTTGTTTAACCTCCCTAAGAACTTTTCAAGGTATCTGTCCTGAAAGCTGCTAATTTATCGTTTAGCAGACTTAACATGCGGATAATAATTAACTGGGGATAAAAGAATGAGAAGGGTGACACAAAGTAGCAAACTAAATGGTTCACCAATAGCAACCCCAAACTACCTCCTCACCCTGCATCTGTAGGGAGGCAGGAAGTTTTTTGCTGTTTGTTTTCTAAAAGCTGGAACTGAATTGTGCATTATTTCCCATTGCTGCTGAAACCACCTGTAGAAGACATGCCGGCTGTGTGCATTGTCACATTATCTTAGTGTCAGTCCTTTGCTTTACACAACATAAAGTAAGTTGGTGGTTTTGTTTTGGTGCGGTAGAGATTTGTTGTTGTTGTTATTTAGTTTTGCCTTTACAGATTATATGCCAAGATAGTATTTGATAAGTCAGTGGCATTGGAATGGCATTTGGGTATTTCCTTCAAAGAATTTTATTTGACCTGGATTTCTTATAAAGTTATCTTACATTAAGCACTTCGTTTTTATTACACTTTTCTTTCTGCATATTATTCATGGAGCATAATGTTGCATTTCTCTAAATTTTATCCCTAAAAGGATAACGTCGCTTCCTAACTTAACATTTTGTCTCTGTGCTTTGCCCTTCTCTTCTGTGGCGAAGCCTTCTTCTGTCTGTTCCTAAAACAGTTAATCCTGTGAAATAAATATTGATTATAACCCAGAAGAATCTCTGTACTTTACAGTGGGGAATGCCATGTTTAATACACCAGCATTAATCTTTTAATAACTGGCAGAGAGCACTTTAATCTTCTGGTGAGCTCCCTGAATATTTATTTTTCTGATTATAAATATTCCATGTCAGTAGCAATTTTTTAATTATTACTCTTTATTGTAGAGCATTACTTTTAGTCTCTCTAGATGTATATTTTGGAATGTTGTGCTTAGGATAATACAGATTAAGATCACAGTACATGACTCTAAAGCATCCCCTGCTTGAATTCCCCAGTTTCCAGATGTTAGTGATCGGTTCAAATGTACAGCATTTTACAGGGACGGAATGTTGCTCACTGAAGTAGCAGCCTAAAAATAATGCCTCTGCATATGCTTGTAGCATTCGTATTTCCTATTGATTCAGATTACAGTTAGAGCCTAAAACTAAAACCTGATCATTTGGTCACTGTATGAAGACAAGTAGAAATAAGAGTTTAATCTTCAAAATATTAGTTCAGCGTTATGTTTAAAAATGATCTATAACAAAAAGGCCTTCGTGGTACCAATTTCAAGGACCACTTTTATAGAAAATAATTCCTCTTCCCTGTTCAAGTGTGAATCTAGAGTTATATTAACATTTTTGTGATATTTGGAGTTTAGTCATTCCTATTGAAAGAAGCTTTTCAGACATAAGGGGAGGGAAAACACACTGAATAGTTTTACACAAGTTTAATGTGGCTTCATTTTGTCCCCCATCACCCCCCAAATGTTTTAAGGTTTTGGGTTTGGATTTTCAATGTGTCATTTGCCTTGTGTGTTAATCTCTATCTTTTGTTTCTTTACATTTTTCAATTTGTATATGTCTGTGCTATTTTGCTTTTGGATACATTTTCTAATTAAAAACCACATGAGAAATATAATCAGCATAGTAATACCTTAATGTGCACACACTCAGTAAATAAATGGCTGCAGTGATATAGACAGGCTTTCCTGGTTTTTCTTTTTGGGTGGCAAGTGGTTTTCATTAAGTCATGGGAAAAAAAATCATGTTCACAGGATAGGCTGAGATGTGATAATTCTCAGGAGAATTCCTCTTTTATGGTATTTGCCTGTCAAAATGTCCCAGAAACAATATGTTTGAAAATACTGTCACTTTTATTCTATTTTAATCCATATTTATGCTCTGCATGTGGCATGTGCACAATAAATGGTTGTGAATAGATAAGTAAGCTCTAATTGTCTTTCCTTTAAAAATATTCATTGCTGAAATCATTTATTGGAGTAACCTGTCCTATCAAGCATTATATTGTATCATATATCACATTCAAACAGCATCAGTTGTCATCTACATTTTCATATCTTTCATTGACCTGGGTACGTTACTTCATTTTTAACTCATTCTGATCTCATTAGCTAACTTTTCTGTAACTAGGTAGGCTCACCTATTCCTCGTTTGTTCATTGCTTTCAGACTTTTTTCCAACTGTGTAAATTTGAGAGGAATGTTTCTGTTGCAGGCTGTATATTGGAATAAAAGACAAATTCAAGTGTATTTGCTCACAGTATGTGAAACTCCAGAAGCCAAACTTATAAGAACATCAAGTCTGCATCTGACATTTTAATAGCTGCTGTTTGGTTTCTATCAATCACGTCATTGCACATTAAAATGCACCGACAAAATAAGAGATCTGTCATTCCTTCTTTAAGAAACAGTAATCCAGTACAAGATTTATAGGCTTAAGACTCAAAAGTGTGTGTTCACAATAAATCCCCATTCAGTGCTCAAACCAGAACAAGCCTCCCTGTCATTCAATGTTTTCTGGCCAAAATGTCCCCCATGTAAGATTATCAAAGGTTTTCTTACAGAACTACATATAAAATCTTTTTTGCCAGCAAAAGCTTAATTTAGGTTGGCGGTTTCCGCTTCTGAGTCCTCTCAGACAAGATCTTGGTTATATCAGAAACACATAGGACCTGATGTATTATTAGCAGGCCTGGTGTTAATTAGGGAGAATTACCAGAAATAGTGTGCTTCGTGGGAATTTATTACAGAATCACACTTGACTGGTGGCAGAATAGGAGTTGCTGAGAGCAGCTCCTACTCATAACCACTAATTAATAAGGTGCCAAAATTCCACAGAGGAGGTTTCATCCCCAGTGTGGGAGCCACCCAGGGAAAGTGGTTCCTCTGCAGTATTTAAAATTTTAAAGAGGAAAGGGGCTAGGACACATGGCTACCCAACAGAAATCTCAGACTGATATGGTTTTGTGTTGTATTTATGAATGAGAGCATTTAACTCAGGAAACACCAAGTCCAGAAGTTTGTGAAAGAATCCCTTTCCCTCCAAAAGTCAAAGTAGCCTGTATGTTTATCATACTAAGCAGATATGGATAGTATTTGGTGGCAAGTGTCTGATCCCCTCAACTGTTCAAGTTATGAAGAATAGATTGTCTGTGGTATTATATTACTGAACTTTTACTCTTTAGTTCATGATTTAGAAGCTGACTAAGTAGGTAGCAAGATTGCATCAATGATTAATAGGAAGGGTGTGGCTTCCACACACAGAGCTGGGGAAAAGCAAGGTGTGTTTAGTGATTGGCACTCATGGCAAAACACTGGAGGAGCCCTCTTAAATGAAAGTTTGCCAAGAAGGAATTTTTTTTCCTGTGTCTGTAGCTGTGTTAATCATATACAAGAAAGCTTGGAATCATTGCTTAGTGTAAAAGAAGAAACCATTTCCATGTGAGAAAAGCACTGATCACTGACCTCAGGGGAAAAAATAAAACAATTGAGAATTCACAGAGTATAATTTGTCAATTTCTCTTGCGCTCCCAAGGAAATGACTTCTGTGCTAGCTCCATGAATTGATTGACATGGTCTCTAATGCATCCATGTT